GATGTGGTCCCATGAAAAGGTTATGCCCAGATATTGTTGTTCTCATATTTCCTACCTCCTACCTTTGTAGCTCCTAGAGAAAGTTAAGCACAAATGCAGTTGCTGTTATCCAATTTATTCATTTATAGATACAATTCAAGATCAAATCACTCAATGGAATTCAATTAATGAGAGTATCTTGTGGAACTAATATAAAGAAGAGCTCAGTGATAAGGTAACTGTACAGTCATCCCTTGATATTCTCAGGAAACTGATTCCAGAGTCCCCTTCAGATTCCAAAATCCAAAGATGCTCAAGTCCCTTACAAAAGTGGCATGGTATTTACATAAAACATATTCACATCTTTCTGTATATTTTAAATATCTCTATATTACTTTACATAATACAATGTAAATTATATGTAAATAGTTGCTATACTATATTTTTATTTGTATCATTTAATATTATTTACATATTTATTCAGTTTTGACTACTTTAGAGCTGCAGTTGGTTGAATCCACTTATGTGGAACCTGTGGATATGTAAGGCTGACTATAGGTAGAAAAGAAAGTAAATAAATTCATTTTTTGAAACTAAATAGCAATCAATAACACATGAGAAAATAAATTTAGCTTATCACTTGATAAATATTTATTGAGCTCTTATTATTTGTTTCCAGGATCTATTGGTAAAGAAGACAATTTGGGTCTAATAGAAGTTTAACTTATATTCTCCACTGAGAACTCCTACCAAATTTATAAAAATAAACTAAATTTGATATGGCTTCTCAGTGTAGATTAAAAGTTAAATCAGTAAAAAATGCCCAGCAGATTTAAGGTAAAGATCTAGATGGAATTAAATGTATTTATAATGTAAGTAATATGAACAATAGCATGTAAAAATTATTTAAGAAGCATATTTGTGTTTGTGGAAAGAATAAATAATAAAATACAAAGGTCAGAATAAAGAAAATCTCTACTTGGACTGCCTTGGAAATTAAGAGAGCCAGAAATAGAATAAAGAACATGGCAACAAGCAAAGAAATGACAAGATAATTTTTATATCCACAGATATCGAAGGTTTAGTAAAAGAGTTGTAGTTTAATAAATGACAAATAGTTCCAGATAATGAAGAAATATTAAAAATTATTTGACAGTTTAAGCTATAATTATTTGAAATGTTAAAATATATACACTTTCCATAATGCATCCTCAGATATGATTGCTATGGATAAGAACAAACAAGGAAACATTATAAATTAAAAAACTTAAAAATAAAAATGAGACTTGAGCATCTGTGGATTTTTTAATCCAAGGGTTGCTCTGGAAATAAAAAATGGCTTATAAATAAGAGGTAATGATTTAGATCCCGTAATTCTAACACAGAGAGAAAGTCAAATGATACAACTCTAAAAGGAAGACAAAATCTAGGAAATCATTGAGACTTACCCTCATAAATCTACATGTAGGACTCAGTATAAAAAATTATTACTAATAGCTTCAGTGCTTACGTTACTAAAATAAGGACAGATTCGAGAAGGGGTGAATAGGGAATTTAGTTTAAGAAACTCCTATATCTTTCAAGCTTTGTTGCAGAGAACAGAATCCTTTTAAGCTAGTATAACACAATGAAATTTTATAGCATAATGGCTATCTTACAGAATTTCCAGGGCATAGAATCAAATTTATATGCTATGCAGTCAGGAACAAATGAAGCCATGAGAAACACTTAACTATATGCAGAAACAATTGGTAAAAGATGCTGCGCTCACTAGAGACCAGTAACCGGTTCTTTGTCACAGATGCCCAAGAAGAAAAGCCACTCTACAAGGTTCTCTCCGGGAACAGATACCATTTCACATTGCTCTGCTTTGTCAAAACATCATACTGCAGACTAACTGCCAATACATCTGAAAAATGTAGTTTTTGGAATAGGTGTGGAGAGCCAAACTGTTGTATTTCCTGCAGCGTGGCATTCATTGGCACTGTTCATCAGGATCCCAACATTATAAAAAGGAATATAACATAAAATATATTATGATAGGCGTTCCAAAAGAGCTCTAGGGTTAGAACTCTAACATAAGTAGAGGTTAGCTAAGCAGGGCCCTAATAGATATGCTTTTAATTATTAGAACCCAAATGGCTGTATGTAGAAAGTAGGGAGGTTAGGAGTGGTGGGCAGGGTGGAATAGTAAACAGGTATGTTTACACAATAGATAATTACTGTGATCTCAGAATACAGAATGTCAAAAAGTAGTTTAAAAAACCATTTGGTCTATAAACACAAGAGCAATAGCATGGCTAAATGCATATGATTTTGATTAAAAAACAATATGCAGATCAGTGGACCTCAAGAGGATGGTGAAGGCAAAGTTCACAGAGCCTTTATTACCTCACTGAGGTTTTTAATTAAAATGAATAAGCAAATTCTGTCTGGAATGAAAGCCTTGGAAGACAGTAATTCAAGAAGATAGAAGGAAAAGAGAGTTTGCAAATTCAGTTGGTAGACGCCAGTTTAAATTTCAGTTTGGGAAGGGAGGTACTGATTATATTTAGGAGAACACTCATCTGAATAGGTGCTAGAGATCAGTCAAGGTAATAGATTCAGCTTAGTTTTGTTAATTATATATCATGAGGTGCTAGAATAGGTTAAAAACTTTAAGTTCATTAATCATTACACAGGTACCTCTTGGAAAGACAGGAATAATCCCAAGGGAACACTGAGATGTGGTTATCTTACATTCTTGTCTTAGTCTGTTTGGGCTGCTATAACAAAATACCCAGACGTGGTAGCTTATAAAGAATAGGAAATTATTTATCACATTCCTGGATGCAGGGAAATCTAAGATTAAGATACCAGAAGATCCCATGTCTAGTGAATGCCCGTTTCCTGGTTCGTAGATGACACCTTCTGTGTCCTCAGATGATGAAAGAGGCAAGGCAGCTCACTTAGGCCTCTTTCATAAGGAAACGAATTCCATTCATGAGGACTGTAACTTTATTACCTAAACGATTCCCAAGGCCTCACCCACTAGTAGCATCATCTTGGGGGTTAGGATTTCCCCATAAGTATTTTGGAGTGACAACTTTCAGACCCTAGCAAAGACATAACATTTCTTGCAGGTTAATCTCAATGAGATTTGAGGTTTCTGAAGTGCATCAAGAAACTGCAGTTAACAAATTCTATTCCAGAAAGTAATGGTAGATATTAACTTACTGAGAGATAACAAATTCTGTTTCTGCAATGTTCAAATGTCTTAGAAAAGCTAGTTCACAAACGTAATGTTTCTTGGAGTCTTACTCATTTTATGTAGCCCATTATAAGCTACAAATTCAAATTGTTCTCATAATAGCAGTTTACACAGATAAGAGAACAGAGGAAACTCTTGAAAAGCTATAATTACCTTGATTACAGCAAATTGATTCATTTATTCAAGAAAATTCTAGGCACTGTGTTACAACAGTAAGAAAAACAGCATCTCTGATCTTCTAAAAACTTTTAATCCAGAGCTCCAAGACAGAAAGACATATACACACACATGTACGATATGTCAGATGGCTTTATGTGCTATGAAGAAAAATAAGACAAGATAAATAAGGGAGATAGAGATTGGAGTGATGTGAAGGGGATTTACATTCCATGTAGAGTATTCAGTGAGTCTCAGAAACATTGTAGTAGGGACCTAAGAGATGAAGTAAGATATGGTGATTTTTATTAGAATAAAACTCAGGGTAAATGATGAGACAGAAGCATGATTTTTATAGATGGGTGAGAAAGAATGATTATCTGGCTGGAACTGAGTATTAAAGGAGATAAGTAAAGTCAAGAGCCAGAAGGCCAGTTCAAAATGTGTGGTCCATGGAAACAGAGCTCTGAAAGGAGTTTAATTTTATCACATATCCTTTTTGCAGCAGGAGTGTATTTACTGTATTTTGTCCCATTTTCAACTGTGAAAATATGCATTTTTCTTTACTTGGTTGTCCATCAAATTGGAATATGATAGTCTGTGGTACAGATTTTAAATTTTCTGTGTGTAACAAGAAGATTTTAACAGATAATTAAATGTGATATGAAATACCTTTTATTTTTTGCATTTTTATGTAAGCAGATTCCTTAAGCAATATGACATTCATCTTGAAGGGCAAACTAAGATCTTCTTTGTAGAACATTTTTTTCTTACAGAAATGTAAAAATTTATAAAATTGCTTTTAGATTTATAATCAAGTAATGAATGTATTAAATAATATCTTAAAAATTGTTTTGCTTGTTTAAACAATGATAATGCAATGACTTACTCTAATATAAAAAGTGAAATATTTAAATAAGCTTGACACTAATGGAAAGTGGAAAATTCTCATAAGATGGAGAAAACAGCTAGTATTACAACATTTGATATTGATTTAATAACATCATAAGTTGTGTTAACTACTGGCCGTATGATACAAATAAGCACAGTAGACCTTACAAGTATGCAAAGTCTCTTATATGCAATACAACAATAAAAAATATGAATAATTGTAGTCAGAATGGGATAGGACCAAATTTTGGGTTCTATTGAAAATATGGTGTCTGCAGAAACAGAGTTTTGAAAATGGTTCTAATTTTAACATACGCTCCATTTTCAGCAGGAGAGCACTAACTGTATTTCATCCTCTATTTTCTACTGTGCAAATATGCCTTTTACTTTGAGTGCTTGTCCATCAAGTTGGAATATAATCTGCCTCACTAAGACACCCGCCGTTTACAACGTGCTTTCATTTACTATGTGCCAAAGGGATTCTTTTTAAAGTAAGTGTTTGCTGAAGGCTGGTATACATGTAGAAAGTGCAAAAATTCTAAGTCTAAAAACTTTATGCATTTTTGCAGAGCGAACCTATCATGTAACTGCTACCATGATAAAGATAGAGAGTAGGTGGTCACTCAAGCACCTGGTCTGGAATTTAGAATTTGATGAAACATTGTATAGGCAAGCAGGGGGTTCTGGGATATGCATCACAGAGCCTGAAAGAACACCAAGATCACAGAACTTGTTAGCCTCTTAGAAACATTTTAGATAATAAAACACATAATATCACTATCATACAAGATGTAAACAAGAAAATGGTGGTAAAGTATCCAAGGTCTCTTATTTTCTTCACCTTACTACTACTGCAAAAATTGGGATTTTTAAAAATAGCTTCTCTACCTTGGGAAAGTACCAGTGAGGACTACTTATTCCTTCACACAGGAAAATAAGTGACGTTTCAGGAGAGACTTAGGAGCTTATTATGCATTAAATTACTTTATTCTGGAGGTGAGGCTTCAAAAAGCAACCTGATGGACCATTGGCACTCTACAGAGTATTAGGTTGTGAGTTACCAAAGTTAAAGACTTTCTGCCAGTATGAACTAATCTAACTTATTTTCAGTGGAGAATACATATTTATTAGAGACAGAAGGGTTAAGTCTTGTATACATTAAAGTTAAATATGAGTAAAGTGCTTGAAGCCTCCACAAGCTACCAAGTTGAAAAATGTGTAGAGTAACTACAGAGACATGGAAAAAAATAACATGTAAGCCCAATGCCTCTCAATTTTTTTATTTTCAAAAGGGCTCAATAATCCATACTTCACCTTACTATTCTTGTCTTATAATTGTGTGTTTGGCATTCTTTTTGACATATCAATTGATCTGACTACATTCTTGCATTCCTCTGTCTTCTTCACTCAAACTTTTTCTGTTGCTATCTGAAATTTCTACTTTATTATCAAAAATGCATCCCACTTTCTACTTCTTTAATGATTATTTCCTGCTTCTTCCATTCTTAGGAGAAACTAGCTTTCCCTGCAGTACTATCAGGTAGCAACTGCTTTTTCTAATATTTGATACAGGGCACTATGTAGAAGTGGAACTCTTGTCTTCCTCACTCTGAGTCTCTGCTAGAAAGTACAATTCTACTAACTTGTAACAGACAAAATAAACAACAATACTGAGGGAATGTTTAAATTTTCACACATGCAGGAAAGAATTAAAGATCAATTGCTCCAGAGGGAGTTTAAAGGAACTCCATTTATAGGTCCAGAAAACATAAAGGGGGTTGGAATTCTTTCCAGGTTAAAAGTCCCCTTGTTCCACACCTCTTCTGATTCCATGTCAGGATCCCCTTCCACAATCTCGTGGAAGCTTTTCTCTCTTATCTTTTTCTTTCTCCTTTTTTTCTTTCTCTGCCTAAATAAATCACTTTCTGCAAAAACTCTTTGGGGTCCGATATTTACTAATGCACCGTGCCTGGCAGGGTCCTCCCTCCTAGCAGGATCCTCCATCCCAATCTTGGGAGAGTGAGAGACCACGAGCCTGGAAGAACAGCCCAGTGGGGAGTGAGTCGAGCCTCCTCTGGGTCCCAGAACCCAGCAACAAGTACTCTCAGGTAGCAACTGCTCTTTTTCTAATATTTTGTGCAATGCACTATGTAGAAGTGGAACTCTTGTATTCTTCACTCTGAGTCTCTGCTGGACAAGTACAATTCTGCTAACTTAGACAAAATAAACAACAAAACAAACAAATATGCACGTGCACATATATGAACTCAAACTTCTTTCTTGAGTTTTTGTCTACTACAAGGAACTAATTTTGAGTATTATTTACAAATATCCTGATTATGTCTCCTCATTTGCTGAAAGCGATAACAATTGCATCATAGTGAGTCATGCAATTGCTTTGGCCCACACAACACATTGATCTCAGTTTATAGAGGCCTCATAATCTTTAAACATTGCCTCTGTTTCACTCTTAACTTTTCCCCATTGTCATAATTTAATGTTTACCTGAATCTGCTCTACTTTTCAGTAATTTCAAAATCTTATTCTGTGAACAAATTTCCATTTCTTCCTGTTTATTCATTAAATGCCCTAATCTGAAAATCTCATGTGTACCTCTAATATATACACATTTCTGTTTATTTGCTGACTACTCTTAAATTTTTATTTCATGAGTCATATTTTCATTATTCTATCGCCATTATTTTAAACCCCTTGATTCTTAGTCTGGTTATTATATTTATCCATAAAAATTATACCTGAAGACAAATCAAACTTTTTAAATTTTATCTGCTTCATGGACATAATCATAAAACAGGAATGCCTGGTTTTAGTATAAATTCATGATCACCAACCTCAAACCATCACTTAAAGTTGCCAAGCACCTTTATTTATTTCACTTTTCCCATGTACTAAAATAACTATTTCAAACTTTAACTGCTCTCGGATCTCTGAGTACCCCCTGCATCTTACCCACAGTCTTCAATAAATAACTTTGCATCCCAAAAGAAAAAAAAAAAGGAAAGGGAGGGAGGGAGGAAGGAAGGGAGGAAGGGAGGAAGGGAGGAAGGGAGGAATGGAGGAAGGGAGGAGGGGAGGAGAGGAGGAGGGAAAGAAGGGAGGAGGGGAGGAGGGGAGGAGGGGAGGAGGGGAGGAGGGGAGGAGGGAAAGAAGGGAGGAAGGGAAGAGGGGAGGAGGGGAGGAGGGGAGGAGGGGAGGAGGGGAGGAGGGGAGGAGGGGAGGAGGGGAGGAGGGGAGGAGGGAAGGACACCCAGAGCTTCTTCAACTTCTGACAAAAGTATTTACTTTCTAAAAAAACTATTTTGCTTTGAAACTCATAGTTTATTCACTTATCCTAAAACACAGCAGCATTTTCCTCTGCTAAGATGAATCCCTTCACTTATTTTTCACCTCTTATGCATATACGTTGTATTCTAATGATCTCTCATACTTCTATGTTCTCATCCTCTTCCTTTGTGCTAATATTTTTACATCAATATGATCAGATCTCCATGTCTAGTGGCACTGCCCAGACCTCATTAGTTTCTTTTATGTTTGACAATTAATATTTTGTAAGTATGGCCCTTATTATCTATTCCTGTTTCTTATTATTTTACTCATTTCTCAGCTGACTGCAACTTCCACCAGTCCATAGCATGAAACGTACATTTGTTAAGTCACACATGGAATCCATGTCTCCAAAACAAATAGGTGTTTTTCTAACCACCACATTGGTCACTTTAGTGGTATTTTACTTACCCCTTTGTTTCTGAGACATTTATTATTTCTGGCATTTCTCCTATACATCTGTTTACTTCCTTTCAGCCTTTTTCTTTTTCCAGTTTCTCTTTATTTTCCTCTATTTCTCGATACTTTACTCACTCCAGACTATACTTTTAGTCAGTCCCACACATCCCAACTTATAACGTGTATATTTATGACTCTTAATTCTGTACTTTAGTTATAGTCATCTCTTTGTACTTCCAAATCTATATAAAATATTAAAAAGACCTAACACATTGTATATGTCAAGAACTGTTCCAGTAATTTGCATATATTCTCATAACATCCAATGAAGTACATATGTTGAGTATTCTCATTATTATATATAGATAATAACATTGAAACAAACAATACAAATAAGTTACTCAAGTTTACACAGGTTGTGAGACAATTAGTCTCCATTCTATGTTCCTGACTACCACACTATAGTACTTCCCCAACTGCTTAGCTGATATGCTTCCCACATGGATGTTCCCAAGGACTATAAACTCAACATGTCCAACGTTGAATTCATTTTATTATCAAATATTACTCTTTGTAAAATGTATAACGCATTGCTAGTTCTATAGAACATCTACTGTCTTACCGTTTCATGAATCAGATTGCATGGATATCTAGAAAATCATAACTTCATGCAGAGGTTTTCTAACAGTTAACATACTGAAATGATAGCCCTCCTCATGGATAGAACGTATATTTTAGACATATCTATATGTAGGAAAACATATGTCATCTAGGGATGTTCAAGTCAGCTGAGAAAAGTTAAGTAAATTTAAGTGGGAGAAAAAAAAAATTTGTTAATATGCATATATATCAATGCATGTTTTATACGATCCAGTTACCTCTCTCATTGCTTCTCTTATCTCTTCTTTTTTTCCACAGAGTAATTTATCTGTAATTATGGTTTGGAAAACTGGGACAGAGTCGATGAAAGTCTTAACACTTGAAGTTTCATCATGTTCTGTTACAACTTAAAATTTAGGGAGACATTCTTAACCCAAGTCTGTCTCTTAAAATCTCTGGTTCCAGGATACAAACTATGAGAAAGAGCATGTAAAGACATGCAAAGAACTGGGAAGTGAACTAAATTTAGAGACTGAAGACAAAGGATTGGAATTATTTCCTTCTTCACAGCTAATAAACAGTGATTTCCCGAGTATTTTATACTATACAGAGAATTCAAAAACTATTAATATTTCTTGTAGTTTCAGAGGCAGGAAGCCATAATATAATGAACAAAATCTTGAATATTTATTCAAATAGACTTAATAGTAAATTAAAATTTTGTAATTTAATTGGTAGGTGAATCTACGTAACTTTTCTATGTGACGGTCCGATTACTCATTAGGGAAATGGATATAATATTACCTTTTAGGGGATTTATGAATTTTAATAACATGAATGAATACTTTAGAACAGTCCAGGGCACGCAATAGGTGTCAGAGAAATTTTTTTTTCTGATTTTGTAATAAAATATTCCTGTATTAAATGCCCAAGAGCATGTGGTTTCTTACACAATTTGATGCATTGTTTTAATACAGAGTAGATATTTAATATATATGAAATAGTGCTAGTCATTAATAAATTATTTGAAAAAATAACTCCCCCATTACTCATTTTTTGCAATTTACTTTGATAAATCAAAGTTTGTAGTGTGGTGAAATTTTTTTAATCAAATCAAGTTTTAGTATCTAATAAAAGTATAGTCAATGTAAATTATGCTTTCCTTTATACATGAGAAGACATCTTTTTTGAAAAAATTTTACTACAAATGAAATTTATTTTATGGAAGAAATCTCACTTTAGGAGCAATGTTTTTTTAAAATATAAACTTCTTTCAAATGTGTCTATATATAAAATTATATATATATATTACATATATGTAATATGTAATTATGTATATAAATAAAGCCTCCCAAAGTGCTGGGATTACAGGCATGAGCCACAGGGCCCAGTGTCCTTTCTCTTATCTCTCTTTTCTCTTCTGTTTTTTCTCATGGTAATTTTTCAGTAATTAATACTCTCACACAAAAACACACAAAGTTTCATATTGCCTAAATAAATGTGTCAACATATCCCTGGAAGTTTGAGATAGCATATGAGGCAGTGGGTCAAACCACAGAATAAACACGGAACGTGTTTTGGCAGTTCAATGTACCTTGAAAATACCTTTTCAAAATACTTCTAGGGAAAATACCTTTTCAAAAACTGTGGACATACTATGGTACATAGTGGAATTGTGAATTTTTTAAATAAACACAAACATTTTTAAAAAGTTTCACCTTTAGAGGGTTTCTTTGGACTATGACCTAAGACTACTTTATGTTAGGAGCATATCAATAGAAGTATGGAGAAGTATCACTTTAGACTACTACACTGGTTTTATGTTTCCCATTATAGGTAGCTAATTATTTTATTGATTCTGTTTACAGGATCTGCTGATGAAAAAGTTCAGTTTCACATAATTTGCCGAATTATGCATTAACTCAGCCTGTCCATACATGGGCTCCCAGAACATGATTCCATAATAATTCTCTGACTTTAATTCCCATGGAATTATTGCTATCCTATAGTTTAATGCTCTGGATTATCAATAATTAAATAGCTGGAATGTAAATAATTTGTCTTATATGTCTTATTTTTATTTTATATATATAAATTAAGCTTCAAGAAATAAGGGCATATTTTGAATAATATAAATCAAGTTGGTGGTCCAGCCAGATCTAGAATTCAGGTCTTCTTTTTACACTAAACTCTGGAATCCCAGTCATGATAAAGCCCCTGCCATCCTTAATGTGGGATGTCCTTTTCTTTTTCTGTTATAATCCCACCAATACTTTAAGATTATTATACTGAAACTTTTTTTTAACTGAGTAGATATTGATTAATCATGTAATGAATTTAATTGATTTTTATGCAAGGAAAATAGCTACCTTAAATTTCAGCTCTTCAAAGTGTTGCTCATTTGTAAAATTATACAAATGCATTTACTCTCCTAATGTATTAATATTTTGATTAAAATTATCTAAATGTTCTCAACAGTATGAATGAAGACAAGTTAGACAAATTGATCATTTGGAAGAAAATGCCTTTTCAATCACTCTGATTTCAGTTTTATTCTGTAAGCTTTTCAAAACTGAAGAGAATTTGAAAAATTAGTGCAGCTTTTAATCATTACATATGACCCCAATTATTTGTACTTTTACTCTTTCCTGATCAAATGGAAGCCTTTCAAATAAGAATATAATGTAAATGAAACAAATCCCATAGTTCCTAATAGGCATTTTTCACTTAGTCATAATCTCGAAATTACTTTTAACAAGCTGTCCTAATAAAGAAACACCCAATTTGGTATAGAAAGTGACACTAAAGGAAGCACAGAATGATTGAAATTGTTTTAGAGACTGCAAATCAAGCATTTTTACTTTCATAGTCAAGTACAGTTTCTTTATTGTAAATCAAAGAAATTTCTGGGTTACTTTAATTGGTAGAATACATTCATTATCAAAAGTTTCTTTTCCAAGAGTATTATATAATGTGATTGAAAAATGACTAATAGGTAATGTGTGAATTTTTAATTAGTGGCTTCTGCCATCCCTAAGACTTTATAGAAGAAAATTTAAGTAAAAACTTAAAAGAATTTTAATGAAGAAAACAATGTTTTTCTTAGAGGCGTATGATTTATTCCTCCTCCGCTATCTCTCTGTGGCTCTTTTTCACCCCTTCAGTCAATTAGAAGTACTTCAAATTTAATTGCCTTTTCAAAAATTGTGCAACTCATCACTCTGCTGGATTTTAGTCCTGTACCCTAACTTCTCTATACTTATTATCATTGATGACCTCTTTGACCGTTCTGTGTAGTTCTCTTTCCATGTGCTGGTTTGATGTCAGTATCATTTGACCTCTCAAGGGCCTTTCACCCAGCTAAGTAAAAATTTACAACTACTTGGTGAGCCTCAGTTCCTTACTGCTAATTAGCTTTGCTCTTTGTCTGCCTTGCCACAGCTGTAGTACTAATTATGAAATGAAGGGATGCAATGTATAGATGGAGTCATTTTAAAATTCAACTTTACATCAAATATCCAAGTCATTATTCTTGAGACAGAGAAATTGTGTCTCCTTGTCTTTTGTTATTTTACATATACATATATTTCAGATTTATTGCATTTAGTGGTCTGTGGACTCAAACTGTCATGAGATGGTCACAGATACTACAAAATTGACACTATGATTGAATTCTGCTACTCAATCAGTATGACAAATAAAGGAATCGATTAAAATATCTGCAATTTTATACGAGGAAAAATTGCTGAAAATAGTTGGTATTGATAGCATTGAGTTCCAAATTACATTCGACATCTATAAGTTGGTGCACTGCAACCACTTAGAGCAATAGAGAATTTCGACCTTGCTTCTTGCACAGAAGCATTGAGGTACTTCTGACCTTAACCTAATATGGATCTTCTTATTGATCTATTCCCATATATTGTTTAATAACTGTATAGTTCTGTTACCAGTGGAGGGTGTCTAGGTTCTTGGTGTTTTGAAAAAAAGAATTTGACAAAATGCACAAATAACATAAGGAAAGAAGGAAGCAACAAAAGCAGAGATTTATTGAAACTGAAAGTACACTCCACAGGGTGGGAGCTGGTTGAGCAGTTGCTGAAAGGCCCAGGATACAGAATCTTCTCAGGTCCAAATACCCGCTAGAAGTTTCCCATTGGACACTTGGTGTTCACCCCATGTAAATGAAGTGGTGGCCTGCAATTAGTCTGATTGGTTACAAAAAACACCTTCCCATCTGCTGTGCAGAAAAGGTGGGTGTTTGAAAAGAAAGTAGTCTCTGGTCTTGTAGTTACTTAGCAGTGGAAAGTTAGGATTTCCTTTCAATTTAGTTCCAGGAAGTCAGTTTGAAACGCCTTTAGTTTCCTTACTCCAGACCCTATTCTCCTGCTCAGTTCTAGCTGTTGTTGTTCTTTAACTTTCTCAGGTAACCCAGGAGAGGTTTTACATATGTGAGGAAACAACCTATTTATTTTCATTATTCTGATTTTCTTTTCTATTGTTTAAGTAGCTGGAGATACTAAAAAAAAATAGAATTTCAAGTTGTATGAATTTGTAAAATATGAATATAATAGAGACAGTATAACAGGATATTAAAGTTGTTGAGGATCTAACACTTAACACAGTGTGAGGAATATTACAGACCTTCAGAAGATGTTTTGTAATGGTTCTATAATTTGTCAGACCCTTCTGATATTAAATATGTATTCTAAAAATTATATAAACTAACATTCTGAAAATTATTTATACTTAAAATATTGAGAGACATAATAAACTCACTGTGTTATTTTATGTATGTTACATTACATATTTTGTCTCTGAATATAGTTGTTATACATGGGCGTGCTCTACTGATACATGGGAATTTTAAATAACTGATTAAAATGGTAAGGTCTCCAATAGAAAAAATGGATAACGTGAAAGAACAGATGAGTAATGTAAGCAAAAAAATGGAAACAGAATCACAAGGCAATGCTAGAAATTAAAAACACTGTAATAGAAATAAAAAATCTCTCTCTTTTTTTTTTTTTTTTTTTTTTTTAGTCTTGCTCTGTCACCCAGACTGGAATGCAGTGGCATGATCTTGGCTCCCTGCAAACATAGCAACCTTAGCCTCCCGGGTTCAAGAGATTCTCATGCCTCAGCCTTTTGAGTAGCTGGGATTACAGATGTGCACCACCACACCTGGCTAATTTATTTATTTTTTTAATTTTTGGTAGAGACATGGTTTCACCATGTTGGCCAGGCTGGTCTTAAACTTCTGACCTGAAGTGATCCACCCACCATGACCTCCCAAAGTCCTGGGATTACAGTCATGAGCCACTGAGCCTGGCAAGAATGCCTTTAGTGGACTCATAACTAAACTGGAAATGGCCAGGGAAAGGGTCAGTGATTTTGAAGATATCCCAATAAAAACTTTATGGCTGGGCGCAGTGGCTCACACCTGTAATCCCAACACTTTGGGAGGCTGAGGTGGGTGTATCAACTGAGGTGAGTTCATGACCAGCGTAGTCAACATATGAAACCCTGTCTCTACTAAAAAAAATACAAAAATTAGCTGGGTGTGGTGGCGGATGCCTGTAGTCCCAGCTACTCAGGTGGCCGAGGCAGGAGAATCACTTGAACACGGAAGGTGGAGGTTGCAGTGAGCCAAAATCGTGCCATTGCACTCCAACCTGGGTGACAAGAGCGAAACTCCATCTCCAAAAAAAAAAAAACAACTTCACAAACTGAGCGCACATTTCATTTAACTTCTAGCATATAACACACACTTTTAAAGCACTAAAAATGATTCATTTTCTGTGTTGA